TCACTGTACTTGAGCCTGTCATCTATTAACTCTCCCACTTTTGTTTCCAGCCTTATCTTGGCCCTAGTGGCTTCCTCGAGTTTAGACTCAAGCTCGGTGATTTGTGATTTAAGATGATCGTTTTCAGAAAAACTTTGATTTAGCTCGATAGTTAATCTTTTAAAAAATTTCCGAACCTTGCTTTTAGAACGGGAATCAAATTTAGAAAGAAAGTTTTCCAAGTTTACCTCGAAATTCTCTTGGTCGGATTCTTCATCGGAATTAGCCATGAGGCACAACCCTGCATGATTTTGGTTTTCTTCTTCTACTTCTTCTTCTTCTTCTTCTTCTTCTTCATCATCATCATCATGGGATGAATCTCCCCAAGCTGCCATCATTGCTTTCTTGAGGTCTCTGTTGAACCCTTTATCTTCACTGGACCGTCGGTGAGAACTGGTCTTGTTCTTGTCGTAGGTTCTATCATTTTTCTTTTGAGGACAATCTTTTGCCCTGTGCTCAAAGGAACCACAAACAAAACAACCTTGGTTATTAAAAGATTGAAACCCTTTCTTACCTTGCTTGTTCCGGTTGCCTTTGATTTTTCGGTACATCTTTCCGAATTGCTTGGCAAACATGCTCATTTCATCTTCCGATTCACTTTCGGAATCTTCTTCTTCCTCTCGAGCCTTGAGAGCAATTCCTCGCTCCTTCCTCACATTTTCGGCATCTTGTTCTTCTTGTAGGCCTAACTCATATGTCATGAGCGAACTGGTCAAGTCTTCTAACGTCATGGTGGAGAGATCTTTAGCTTCTTCTATAGCCGTAGTTTTGGGCTTCCATGCGGAGGGCAGGCTTCTCATAACTTTTCTCACTTGATCTTCCACAGTAATATCATTTCCAAGTGCTGAAAGCTCATTTATAATATTAGTAAAGCGTGTAATCATATCCCTAATGTACTCTTTAGGCTTCATCACGAACAATTCGTAATTACGCATAAATATGTCAATTTTGGATCTTTTTACACGCGAGGTACCTTCATGTGTAACCTCGAGTAAATCCCACATTTGTTTTGCGGATTTGCATCCAAGAACACGGTTGTGCTCAGCTGGATCAAGTCCACAAATCAAATATTTCAATGCTTGGGCATTATGCTCGAGTTTATGATAATCATCAGAAGTGAATTCAGATTTGGGTTTAGGAACAACTTTACCTTCGGAGTCCACCTTAGTAATGACGTTATCACCTGCCTCAATTACATTTCATACCTGATAGTTCTCAGCTTTGATGAAGTTCTCCATTCGACTCTTCCAGAATTGGTAAAATTTGCCGTTGAACAACGGTGGTCGTTGAGTCGAGTATCCTTCCTCCAATCGTTCAACCGTATTCATGCTGCCGGATCTCTTCCCAAGGTATTAACCTTTATGTGGCGAAGACCAGCTCTGATACCAATTGATGAAACGGTTAGCAACACAAGAGGGAGGGGGGGGGGGGGGGGGGTGAATTGTGTGTGTGTGGAACCGTGACAGTTTTTCACACAGTTCTAGTGTGGGGTCCAGGGAGATGCGAAATAGTAAAGTGCACAAGGATTTAACGAGGAAAAATCCCTTGGCTCAAAGGGATTAAAAAACCTCGACCTCCCTCGGAGGAATTTTCAACAACTTCACTAATAAGCCTTTTGTGGTTACAAGGTAAATTCTCCTAATCTACCCTTGAGCCACCCCAACTCTATCCTCTCTAGGAAGAGTTATGCATCTCTACCTTGCGGGTAGAGAGCCTCTCAGATTTACAACAAAGCTCTCACACAGACAACCCCAACCAGAGGAAGCTACACTTAAGATTTTCCTCAAACTTCAATTACAAAATAAGGAAGAGAAAAGAAACTATATCTAGAACTCTGTAAGCAGGTCCAGTTGCCTTGGTCTTGATAATCTCTTATAAGTATTTCTTTCTATAATTGTTTGGTCAAGCACACACTCTTCTCTTGATCTTCCGTCATATATATAGCTTCATGCAGGCCGTCTGTTGCTCTTCTTTCCTTAGTTGGTTGCTTGGTAAATTTATGGACTTGCCTTGATATTAATATACTTAAGAAATTATAATCACGTATATACAAAAGTAGCATACCAATCTCGGACAAGGGGATTATTTCATAAATGCAACGGCTCACTCAAATCATGTGTGATTAATTTAAGTAGGAATATTTCAAGCTACTTAACTTTATTACCAAAGAAAACAAGTTGTGGCCAACTCTTAAAACGGCAGACTATTATTCTCAATCTATGCAACAGATCAAATATGGAATATATTTCAAACAAGGATCCGTAAAGCAAGAGAAAGAATTCACTTAACAAGTATATGTGCTATGGTCAACTTCCAATTATAATTCATGCATTCACATCAAGTAAAGATACTTTCCATAAGGTATTTAAGCAATATTTAATGAGTGGATGTCAAGTCAAGTATGGAAGGATAATAACCACTTAAATAAGTACTCATACATATATATAGAGTGGTCATGCATAGTAAGATACTTTTTCTCAAAATAATATTCTTGACAAAGTATAAGTACTCATATAAGGAAAGTATATAATTTGAAAATCAAGTAGGTGCAATCAATACTAATTCAAATCATATTACGGAGCTAGAAATGGAGCTGCATTAGTTCCTCCCGCATGGTTAGTCAACAACACACTAATAATATCCATTTGGTCCTGAGGATAGTTCTGTCCTTTGTTCCGTAAGGAACTGTGAGCGGTTCTATCCGCCGTTCCACCTGCATGGTTAGTCATCAACAAAACAATCATACTCAACAGAGAACACTCTTCGGATCAATTTGTGTCCCAGAAATCATAGTGGATGAAGATTTGGTTCTTACTGAAATCGCTTATAAATTTGATTTTACATGTAAAATGCTTATCATATTTGAATAGGCATACAAATCTGAGGAAGTTCTCAACAGATACTGAAAGGGCTTGTGAATTCATAGCTAAGTATCTAAAGCTTAAATTTCCATAGATATATGAGTATTCAAACTCGAGGAAAGTTGACAACGATGCATCAGAAGTTGAAGATGACATTATGACTGGCTATGGAATTTCCTTTCATCATAGTGTCTCTAAAGCTTGCGATTGAATTGCAATTTCATTATTCAAAAAAATATTTTGAGAATGATTTTTCTCATCTCAAAATCAATTCATAGGATGATTGGCTATTAAGTTTCCTACATCACAAGAACAACAAATCTAAATGTTAAATTGATCACCGGCACTAGGGCTGACAATTGGCATCATGTTTCAAGAGAGTGGTTCTTACAAAACAAATTGGGTTCAAAATATATAGGAATAGGTAAGTCACAAAATTTGGAGTTGTGTTTTATGCCAGAAGAATACTTAGAAAGAACAAAGAAGTATATTTAACGCAACTGGGAATTTTGCCCGCTTGTCAGGCGGCCACAACACTGATGTGTTCTTACTCATTTTCATTTTCATTTACCCCAGTGCCGCAAAGGCTCCCACCTACGGTGGGGTAAGGGGGGGTCGGATGTACGCAGTCTTACCCCTGTACTAAAGCATAGAGAGACTGATGTGTTCTTACTCGCGGCAAAAAAAATAAAATTCCTCTCGTTCTTGAAGTTCTTAAATACTTGGAAGAATAGTTAGAAAATTCCCAGTATCTACGCAGGCCACAAACGTGATGCACTGGCGCTCTCTATAGAGTGAAAATGATTTTTTTTTTTCATTTCAAATCCCTATTCTGATGACAAACAAGAAAAACCAAAATATTCCTACTCCAATAGCAATCGTCTTTGTATAGTAAATCGACCGATTGTTCGGGCTCCACAACTCTAGAAGTTCACTATGAAGAAAATAAATAAAAGTGTAAGAAAGCTTGCCAGTTCGAAAAGCAAAGTTCATCTCTGAATAATCTGGGCAGCTCTTTCAGACCCGACCTCACATGGTAAAACTTCACCAATTTTACGCCGGCAGTATCCCTCTATCACCTGCGGCCGTCTCTGTGACTGTGAAAATAACGATCTACGCCTTCAAAATAGAAATTGTTAGCAAATACAGAGTATATATTAACTTTTATATTCAATGATTATTAGATAACTGCGTATACAATTTTAAACATCCACATGTTGTAATATTACTTGTCCAAACAGACAAATGTTCCGTACCTTTCAAATTTATAGTTGCACCGTAGAATGACCCTAAAATTAATACATCTATGGCAACATACTCCCTCCGTCCCGCTAATAATGAGACAAGAGGGAGTGACACGCAAAATAATAAAAAGTGGTTTATGTGATTGGTATTGCATTGAATTGATAAAGTAAGAATAATGTAAGAATGATTTAGAGCTACACAAACTTTACCAAATTTGGTATGAGACAATGTTAGTGGGACGGACCGATAAGGTAAAATGGGACAATCATAGCGGGACGGAGGTAGTAGTTATTATCACCAATAACCTCATTATATTATATACATATTAAAAAAAATCTTTATCAAAATATACTTGAATTACTATAATCAATTATTGTCTAAATAATCATATCATTTTGTAATAAGAACCTTTCGACAGAACGGAAGTAGTACCTAATATATGATGTGATAGAATCCTCCAGGTTAGCAGTAAAGTTACAGAGAAATTAAAAAGAACAATTTGAGAATTTTATTGAAGATGAACAGAATCTATAACAACGATAGAGAGAGTATGTCCGAAGCCCCCAAATGAGCCGAAGCCCCCCTAAGAAAGAGATTAACTCTCGATCTTCCCAAGTCCCAAATGACAAAGTCAAAAACAGCCTACTAAACCCTTCCCTGCTATCTTCTATTTACACTAAACTTGTACACTTTATTCTTATTAATACTCTAATAGGCCCGGTCCTTTATTCTTAGTATCTAATAGGCCCGGTCCCAAACAATACTCCCCCCTAAACATCCACCTTGCCCTCAGGGTGGGTGATAGGACACTGCCACCAACTTATTCTTTTCTTTCATCCTAGCACCCCTCCCTCTCCAATATTGATTTATCTGCTGGACCTTTTGCTTTACTACTTCCATCTTCCACTCTGTATTTCGTAGCATAGTTCCGCAGAGGCCAGAAAATTTGATCCAAAACTTTGATTCCTGCAGATTTTGGGAAGACCAAGGTGCAGTCGCCGTGACAAGCATGTTGAACACTTCCTCCTTCAACATCCTGTTCACTTGATGAGTCATCTCCTTGTAAAGTCACCTTCTGCCCTTGTACTTCCCATTTGAAGGTCTGACTTTGGAAGTTAATCTCCGTGTCTCCCAAGCTTGTTAGCCAGTCCATTCCCAAGACTAAATCCGTGCTCCCCAGCTCCAATAAGTAAGAAGTTTGATGAATACCAATTCCTTTCACATTCAGATCTACACCTGACACAAATTTGAATACATTCTCCATTCCCCAACTGCACCCTATTCCCCTGAAAAGAAGTATAACGAATCCTCCACTTTTCCACCAAGCTTAGTGACATAAAATTGTGTGTAGCACCTCCATCAATGAGTACATTTACTGTGTTTTCACCTTCATGCCATTCCAGTTTACCTTTTACCTTAAAGGTTTTCGCAGGGGTTATGTCTTTCTCATCACTTAAAGAAATCTGCATGGTCTTCAATTCTAGAGGTGTGGTCTTATCCCTGCCAGATTCCAGTGATTCAACTTCATAATCAGCTTCACCCTCCAAATTCTCCACTAGGATCATTTTATAGTTCCTCATCTTGCAGACATGTCCTCTTCCCCAATTTTCACCACATTTAAAACAGAGTCCTTTCTTGCTTCTGTTTAATAGTTCTTCTTGGGATAGTCTAGGACTTGTCTCATTAGATACGCAGCTTGGACCTTCCTTCATGCTTTCATCTCTCCATTTCTGGCCTGAAGACTGGATGATAGGTGTAGTCTGCCATTTCCTCTTTCCTTCATCCTTATTCTTCACAAACAAGGTTTCAGAATTCTTGTTCTCAATCGCGGACGCAGTATCCATAATTTCTGCCAACGTTCTAGTACGATGTAACTTCAATTCTGCTCTTATATCTCTTTTCAATCCCTTAAGAAAGGCTCCTGTCAGGACTTCTTCAGTTAAGTGGCCTTGTGAAGCGATAGCCTTTTCAAATTTATCTCGGTACTCCTGAATTGTCCCCTTCTGCTTCAGGCTAAACAGAGGCCCTAGTGGATCATGTACCAGATCAAGTTAAAATCGCTTGGTCAAAGCTTGAGTAAAAGAGTCCCAGTTTTGATGCGTAGCCTGCCTCTCCCACCATTGAAACGAGCTGAGAGCTTGGTCCTCCATGGCCACTACAGCGACATCAATTTTCTGTTCCTCTTCAGTTTGATTCAAGCAAAAATATCGGTTCATTCTAACCAACCATCCAGAAGCATCTTCTCCATTAAAAATAGGTAAGTCGATCTTTCTACCTGTATGATGATGATGACGTTCCTTGTGATGATGGCGGTGTTGATGTCGACGTGGAGGAGAATAGTCGGAATTGTTTTCCGATCTCTCTGAACTTGCAGATTGTCGCGAGCGAAGATGGTGAGGTGAACGATGATGGTGAGGTGGATGGTGATGATAAGAAGTGTGATGCAATGTAGATGTGCGATGCGATGCAGATGATCGATGTGACCTACTTCTTGATCGATCCATTTTTTGATAAGAAGTTAAATGTCATTACATACTATGATAATTATAAATTTATAATTAGATAAAATCAGACAAATCAGAACAGACGAAGAGGTCACCCAACACACTAGGGTCATAATATGGCAATTGCTTGGAGGGTTTTTGTTCCCTGACACAAGTACGACAAGAATACGATTGTACTTTTTGGAGGTCTTGCAGGGTGACTTGGCTTTAGCCCGTCGATGGAGTTGGGGATCAGCGGTGCTTGGGTACCTCTACCATAATTTTAGCTTATGCAACGGCGCCAAGTGGGCCAAACAAGTTGACGGTTGTATGCACTTGTTACAGATTTGAGCTTGGGCGAGAATTTCGATGGTCCGTCCCACAGTACTTAGGGTCATTCAACATAACCATCTTCCATATGGGTGCAGGTATGTTGACAATTACATCTTAATAATTGAGAATGCTTTATATAGTATGACGTTACATTTTTTAACTTCATATTGGTAATCAATAAATGTAGGTGCATTGTCCCCATGTCATATAAGGGATCACCAAGACACTGCATACGCTTGTACCGGGACCTCTTAGACCGCATGAGTGAGAGTCAGATAGTACTTGGAATTTTAACTTCAACTGTACGATTCAATTTTTAGTACATATTATTTTCTAGTTCTTAAATTGCAAATTAAACTTTTTACAGTTTGATTTCGTTCCCTACGCGGGCGAGACACTCCCACATGCCTGCCTTGATGCCATTCCCCTTTGGTCGGTTGAGGTGATGCTCATATTTTGCAATATGACTGAAAGACATTACCCCGATCGATTTCTTCGGAAGTTCCATATAAGGCAAGATATTCCGAAAAAACCTTTGCTGGGTAATGATCATCACACCAGTCATTCCAACATATCAGCCGGTGCCTTAACATTGTGGGCGGACGTGAAAAATCATATATACTATCTTGATTATAAATGACTTACGTCCCTCGAAGCGACTGATAGGTACCGAAGATGGTACATGCGGTATGGGATGACACGTGTCCAGAACCCTTCTCACAATGTGCCCGCGACAGGCTACACCCCGACAACACGCGATTGGGGTCTTGTGGTAAGTTTTTGAATACATACCATATTCATTAACATATATCGTGTCATATTATTTACACGTGTTACATTTTTATGTAGAAGCAATGCGTTCACAATTGTGTATCAGCTCGCCGGCAACCCCGTGACTTATGAGGACATTCAAGAACGGTTACAGTGGTTGACCATGGATTTAGGTAATGAAGAGATGCTCCACCGGGGCATATTCCGTTATGAAAATGGAGATGAAAGTGGAAACGAGCAAGAAGATGATGCAGATGAACATGAAGGTGGGGGTGAGCAATCACAACCGCCCCCTGAATTCTCAACGCATCAAGGTTTCTCATTTAATTTGATCAACCACCACTGTATTGTGATTCTTATCAGTACTCCACACACGCGGATGATTTGGTTTCCTCATTTCTGGATTCGTCATTTTACCATGGAGACACAACGGGGGCTTGGAACACTGGCGGTGGAGACGGAGCAGAGCCGAGCACGCAACGTACATGTAGTATTAAATTTATTATTGTATGTACTATCTATTTATTAATAAATTACATTGAAAACTGCATTTGTTTTGTTCACTTTCATTGAAATTACAAAAATTGCATCTTAAACAAAATCAAATTTGTATCTCATTTTATGAATTTTATTCACAATACGGATGGATTAAAAAATAAAATAAAGTAACCAATATTTTGATATTAAAAAAATCAAACTCCATATTTTTCTTTTTAAAAAATTACGACTGTGTTACTACAAATAAATAATAAACTTAACTATACTGCAAATAAATAATAAAATAATAAAGTTAAACTTAAAATACAAATAAATAAACTTAACTTACAAATAAATAATAAACTTAATCGTGCAATACAAATACACAAATAGTTAAACTGAAAAAAAATATTGGTCGCTATTGTCCCTTTTAAACCGGTACCGGAACAGAACGGGACGGTTCGGGACATCCCAAAAAAATTGCAGCAAAAAAAATACAGCTCCAAAATAAACTTCATGACAAAAAACTACAACACTAAAAATGCAACATATAATTTTTTTTACGATGAATGCAACACAAAAAATAGTAGATTAATAGGATAGTTGCACGAAACAAATTGTAACAACAATAATAACTCCAACACACACAATACTACTAAGAAACTGCAAAGATAAAAAAGACAAACAATATTATTAGAAATGAAACATGTGGAGTATACGTGAGTTTCCTTTTAGTATGTAGAAGATAGTTCATTGACGTGCACTCGTCGTTAGGTGCACTCAAAATAATTAATCAATACAACACTAATACGTAGTATAGTGTAGTAAGGTTCGTATCCACAGGGAAAGGAATACTTTTCTTTTAAATAAATAGTAACAAAAAGGGGGGTTTAGATTTGTTTGCTTTAAAAACACTAAGATAAACGACCTATATGAGTTTAATTCAATGAGATGAAGACTTGGTTTTGCTTTTATCCACTTAATGAAATGTTCGTCGATCCCGGTTATATCTTTAACTATCTTCCTCTCGAATACTCAATCGAGGAGTATATCCAGTTCATCGAGGGTAGTTATTATTAACGAGATGCGTTCATTAATAAAACTTACTATCGAGTCAATATAGAACAAGCGCCGTATATTAACTTGATAGTAGCAATAAACTTAAGATGAAAACGATTGAGATTGATAACCTCAACACAAGCGGTTTATTGGTTTAATCAATATAATTAATTCCCCTTGGCATATTAACCATGAGATGAATGCATTAATATTCCCAGTTTACTACCGTTGAAAGAACCGGATTAATAACAAGCGTATTAACCGATTGATTCTAGTAATAATTAATATGAGAAACAATACTAGTTGATACTTTAAGTAATGTTTAAGATATTAACATGAAATATGAATAGGAATTAATTAATACTCAAGGAAGATTATTAAAATATATGAATCCTACTATGATTAATATCAAGATGTTAACTAATTGTCATCTTAGTAACACTCCCCAATATTATCATAGAGGAAGAAATAGCTATTACTATAACCAATGTCAAGATGTTAACTAATTGTCATCTTAGTAACACTCCCCAACTTTGATATAGAGATAGTATTTTGAAAGAAAGAATTAATATTCAAGGAAGAAGATTAAAAAAAATAACTCACAACTTACAAATTCATTAAGCTTCAAAGTAGCAAAACCAAGATGGAAGAGTTTAGCTCCTCATTTGGAGACTAAACATGATGAAAAATATAAAGAAAGAACTATTCTATACTGAGCTTAGATGTACAAAGGAATTGGATTTCTTTTTGTGAAGGAAAGGAGGTGTATTTATAGGCTTTTGGGAGCTAATTCGGGTACTCGATCGGGTATATACATGGTACCCGATCGAGTATGTGTGTAACACCCGATCCGAGGTATACTCGACCGGTTTCAGGGTATTTTCTAAGAGTATACCCGATCGAGTATATATGAATACCCGGTCGAGTATGCTTAGAAAATGGTATTCGAACCATACTCGACCGAAATTCTTTTGAAATTCAAAGGCATACCCGATCGGGTATGTCGGTCTACCCGATCGGGTATAGACATAAAATCGTGGTTGAAATCTTCCCTGCATGTTCCCTTGTCTTCGGATCTGATCCGATTTGAAGTTCCAACCTAATACCCGATCGAGTATAGCTAATACTCGACCGAGTATAGACCAAAATTCAGGATCTTCTTTTGTCTTTGAACTTTTGCACCTTCTTTTCACTTTTTGGGTTCACCAACTGTACTTTGAGTGACCAAAACCTGCTTGAGCTCAGAATATATCTAATCTAACCTATTTACAAGAATTTAACAATCTAATCTATTACACCAAAAGTGTGTAATTTCCAAAGTAAAAGTCAAGCAAAACTAATTAAAAACATAAACATAGATATGGAAATTACGAACGTATCAACTCCCCCACACTTAAACCTTTACTCGTCTCGAGTAAGATCAAATGTTTACAAGTGTCAATGTTTGTCCAAAAGTTCCACAGTTCAACAAAAACATAATACAAACACAAAGACCACCAAGGATGACAAAGAAAAATGAGTTTTAAACTCAAATTACAAAAGAGCATCTTGGGTTTAATGGCCTCCTAGTGTTGTCTTCTTTTCTCCTCCTCTCTTCTTCTTTATCTTGAATCTTCTTATTCTTCATAAGGATACAATGAGTGCCTGCAAGAACAAACATTTCTCTCATATCTCTCATTTTGCCTAGGAGCCTTTTCAGGTTTTCATCCTAGCACCTCTTTTCATTTTCCATTTTCTCCAACTCACTCATTTTTTTATAAGCCTTTTTTGCTTAGATTGCCCATTTTGTTGGGTTTTCAACCTAACTAGCATTTATTTTCTTTTGTTTATTTTTTCTTTATTTTTTTTTTGTGTAAAAGTTCAAAAGAATTACATGCATAGTGCTAGGTAGAAATGAAAATTACATACCATCATGAGTGTCTCCCCCGCACTTGAATCAAGCACTGTCCCTAGTGCCCACCTTCTCCTCCGTAGTAGCTCCCTCCAAAGCCGCTCCCTTGGCCACCATCTCCCATGTAGGTGTCCCCGCCATCTCCGCCGTCGTACCCTCCACCTCCGGAGCATGATCCTCCAAAGTTACCCCAATGAGTGGGGTCATACCATGATGGTGGTGGAGGAGGGTTCGCCATGGTATGGAAGGATCCCTGCTGTGCCATAAAAGAGTACATAGGTCCGTAGAACCTATGTTGGTCTTCCTCATACCGATGTCTATCGGCCTCCCTGAGCTCCTCCAATCGTTGAAAGTCGGCTCTTTGTTCATCCTCCAATCTTTGAAAACCGGCTCTTTGTTCCTCCTCTAATCGGTTGAGCCGGTTGTCCATTTGGGCCATTCCCGAAAGAAGTTGTTGTTGACCCTCTAGAAGTTGTTGAAAGAAGTCGGGTGGTGGAGGGTTTTGGTTCTGTTCTGGGAAGTCCTGGCTCATGGTTGGATGGCTATGGAGTTGCTCATAGGGCTCGTAATCGGGTTGGTTTTGGGGAGGTTCCTGTTCCGGTTCCTGGAGATGTGGTGGGAGGGCGTTTGGGAAGAGGTAATGTTGCTCCGCTCTTCCTGTTTTGAAGTGGAGTTGGGGGAGTTCTGGGTTGGGCAAGAGGAAGTATTTGAGGGGTTTGGGGTGGATGTGCCAGTTGTACATATTTCTGGGCCTTTCTTCACCATAAACGGTGTGTGAAAAAGATGTACAGCCCGAGTGGCCCAGCCAAGATATGTTCATCAAACAGTAGTCGGGTATAGGAGAGTCATCCGTATACCCGAACTTTGTGGCCAAGTGCATAATCACCCCGCCCACTACAATAGCACCCTTTGCCACGCTCTCTTTTTTTAGATGTGCCCACATGAGATTACATAGGTTGAAATCCACGTGGATACAGAATAAGGCTACCGAGATGAGGCATACATCCCCCATCCTTGTATGATGGTTGTTGGGACGTCCAAGCAAGGAGTTGGCAAGGAATTTCAAAAAGAGGCGTAGGACGGGATGTTGGACATGACTAATGTAGAGTTGGGAGGAGCTAAATTTAGTCTCCCCGGTCATCTTGGTCCATAGGGTGTGGCCGAAGGCGGTATTGTCGGATATAGATTTTTGGTACGGGACCGGAATACCAAAGTGTTCGGCGAACTCAAGTTTTGTGATGGTGTGATTGTGATTAAACAATCGAAACCTGAGTTTATCATCCCTAAAGTCCTCTTCATTGTTCTCAAAGTGCACAGAGCTTAGGAATTCATAGATAATTTTTTCATTTGAGTTGTATTGCATTTTGAAAATTTTATCCATTCTCAACTCATGAAAAAATTTCTTCATCATTTTGTACACTCCTAATTCCTTTAGGGCATCATGGCATAAAAAGCGGGAAGGTTTAACTTGCCTTTCAATTGTGGACATGAAGCGTGTGCGGTGTCCGTTGTCCACGAAGAGGATGTCCTCGTAGCCCGGGATGGATGCCCTAGTGCTTGAGCTTTGCCCTTTCTCTTTCCTTGGAGCCATTTGGAGTGAATTTGGCCTTTGAAAACCGAAATTGGAAGGTGGGGGGTAGGGTTTTTCGGACCTCTGAAAATTGGGAGAGAATGGGATTGGTGAGTATGAATGTGTAGAGGAGGATGAGGGGAGTGTTTTGGCGTTGAAATGGGCGGATTTGGTGAAGATTTGGAAGAGATATGGTAGAGAGAAGGTGTAAAAATGGGGGTTTGGGCGTTTTTGTTCGAGATAGGGTTGGAAATTTGGAGAAGATGAAGTGTTTTGGGGCTGATTTGGGGTTATAATACCCGTATACCCGATCGAGTATGTGCTGGTACTCGGTCGGGTATGTCTGGAAAGTGGCCTTTTTGAGCAGTCTGCCTCCTGTACTCGATCGGGTATTGTGTTGTTACCCGGTCGAGTATGTCTGGAAAATGAACTTTGTGAGCAGCCTGTCTCCTGTACCCGGTCGAGTATTCCTCCATACTCGATCGGGTATGTGCTTGTTTTCTACTTTTGAAGTAGGTACTCGGTCGAGTGTGGGAGTCAGTCCCCTT